CCCCTTCCGTATCATCCTCCGCCTCCTCATCATCATCATCCTCATCATCGTCGCCATCATTAGTATCATCATCCGCATCATCATCATCATCATCAGCATCATCATCATCATCATCATCATCATCATCATCATCATCATCATCATCATCATCATCATCATCATCATCATCATCATCATCATCATCATCATCATCATCATCATCATCATCATCATCATCATCATCATCATCATCATCAGCAGCATTACCATCATCATCATCAGTATCAGCATCATCGTCATCATCAGCAGCATCATCATCAGCATCATCAACAGCATCATCATCAGCAGCAGCTGCATCAACATCATCATCATCATCATCATCAGCATCATCATCGTCATCAGCATCACCAGCGTCATCAGCATCATCATCATCAACACCATCATCCATCGTCCTCGTCATCAACATCGTCCTCATCGTCATCATCAGCAGCAACAGCATTACCGTCATCGTCAGCAGCAGTATCATCGTCGTCATCGTCTTCTTCATCATAATCAACATCATCATGATCATCATCATGATCATGATCATCATCAACACCATCATCATCACCATCATCAGTATCATCATCAGCAGCGTCAGAATCGTCAGCATCAGCATCATCAGCATCATCATCAGCGGCATCATTATCATAAGAATCAGCATCATCATCATCATCCTCAGCATCATTGTCATCGTCATCAGCATCAGCATAATCCTAAGCATTAGCATCAGAATCGTCATCATCATCGCCATCTTCACCCTCGGCATCAACACTGTCCCCATCCAAATCATCATCATCATCATCATCAGCAGCAGCAGCATCATCAGCAGCAGCATCCACATCCTCATCCTCACCCTCATCAGCATCAACATCATCCTCATCATCATCCTAATCATCATCATCATCAGCATCATAAGCATTATCATCATCATCCTGCGACTCCTTCTCATCCTCGCCGTTGCTGTCAAGCGAACCGAACACTCCAAAGCTTGGGCAGACAATACCCAGGTGGCCACCGGCTCCTGTCAAGCCGCACGCATCCTTGATGCAGTTCGCGAACTTCTCGCGTTCGTTATTCTCCTTAGCAGTAACCGTAAGGTCTCACTTCTCAAGTCAGAGCGGAAGAGGATGAGGGAGGACGACGACCGCGAGAAAGAAAAGGAGGGTGGAGAAAGGACGGAGGACGGAGGAGAGAGAGAGACAAGAGGAGGAGGAAGAGGAGGAGGCGGGAGGAGGGAGGGGAATGGAGAACGGAGGACGGGGGTGTGAGGGAGGAGGGAAAAGGAGAAGGAGGAGGAGATACAGGAGGAGGAGGGAGGAGGCTGGAAGGAGGTAGGGAGAAAGGGAAGGATGGACCGGAGAGGGAGGGTGGAGCTAAGAGGGAGCGGGAAGGGGGGCGGATGGAAGAAGGAGATGTCAGGGTGGGACGAGTAGAAGCACAAGGATGAACAATTGGAAAAACAAAGCGCATCAGGCACAGTCGCATGCGCTGCGGCCGCAGTGTCAATGCCCGTGGACGTGTGACAACCTCAGGGAGTACTGAAAGTCTGATTCATGCCGAAGGTGGGAGGCGGATGGGCTCCAGGCGCGAGGGCTGCCGAGAGGGGGGGCGTCATGCCGAGGGTGAGCGCATGCAGTGGAAGCGGAGACACCGCTGTGAGGCCCTCTGCCTGGCCCAAGGATAGGCCAGACTGCTCCCCTCCTCCCCTTGTTCCTCCTCCTCTTCCTGCTCCTCCTCCTTCTCCTTCTCCTCCTCCTCCGCATTTTCCGCATCCTCCGCAAGCTCCGCATCCTCCTTACACAGCGATGGGTTACGGCCGAGGTGTGTGATGGAAGGCGTGCGCTCAGTATGAAGCACGAGTCATAGGTCCAAAGTGCATGGGCAAAAGTGATGCAAAGCCCTACGCGAGCGTTAGCACCACCAGCAGCTGTGACGATGTAGTCGACACGTGACCGGGTCGGTGGGCACTGGGAGCGAGAATCCGCAGTGAAAAACGTAATGTCGGTCGTGTGCATGTCCATCTCGGCAGCGCATTTATCGGAGGTTCGGTTCATGAGCTGGCACTTGCATGTTGCTCGAGTCGCTGTGTGTCGCGCCCCGACACTGGAGATGCATATGGGGCAAAAGAGGACAACATGGTCCAGAACATTCGCCCACGTTCGCCAAGCTATCCCTACGTTACAGATGCTCGGGATTGTCAGCGTAGCATTGCGATAAGCTCGGGCCAAGCGCCTGCGGTAGGTAAGGAAAAAGAGCGTCGAGCATCGCAGTGTGCACTGCGGGGCAACCGCAGCCAGTCGTCTGCGATCGGACGGCTAGCGAAGTCAAACCGACTTGCCTGACATAGCCAAAACTTATCAACGCCAAAATTTACGGTGCAGGAAATAAATCGGAGATGGATTGGCCTTGAGCCACTAAGCGTGTTTCTTCTAACCGCAGGCGCCGCACGCGTCCCAACCCAGCGACATGCGCTTGGCTGGGAGCGATCGCATGATCGCAGCGCGCCCTGGAATGGCACGTGTACTTTCACAGCTGTGGCGAAACGAAGGGCGCTGCTGCAGAGCCGGTAGCTTCATCCGCACTGGGCGGGCCAAGCGAGACTGGCATCCGATCTGGGAAATCCATAGCCATGGCGGCAGGATGTGCCACGAAAAGTCGTCGCGGTCGAAACGGCAGTCGGTCGGCCATGGAAGTCCGCGAGATCGCCCGGCAGGCCGCTGACGTCGAGGCGGCCCACAGGTGCGATGATGGCGACGACGATGGCGATGGCGATGACGTCATCGCCATCGTCATCGTCATCATCGATTGGCCCTGGCGGCGTTGAGGCGACCGTGCGCGGCGCTGTTCGGCGCCGCCTTTGCGCGGCGCCAGCATTTAACGGGCAGTTTTTGCGGCGGCGACCGTGTTGCCAGGGTGTCCCGCTGCAGGGGTCGTTCGGCCGTCTGCGCCAGGGCGCCCAGCTCCGCAAAAGAAAATGCCCTGGCACGCAAACGCGACGCAGAAGCGCACTGGCGATGGCACGGCCCCCGGCTGCGGCGGGCAGCGCCCCGTCGGGGCCCGCGCGCCTCTCCGACCCCGCCGCGCGGGCCCGCGCCGCCGACGGGGCCGCGGCGGGCGGCCGCGCACCCGCGGCGGCCGCGCGCGCGCGCAGGGCGCCCGAGCTCGGCGTGGAGCGCTGGCGTGCGGGCGGCAGGCGTGCGCAGAAGGCAGGCGTACGCAGAAACGTTGAACTTCGATTTCCCATGGAAAACAGCAGGGAAACCTAAGGCAAACTGCACAACAATCAAGGAACACCGAGCTCTCCCCAACGAAAAGGGTTCCTTCTTCAGCGCCCCGACTGTACACCACCAGGGCCGTCCTCTGACCCGGGCACGGCGTCTGCGTCTTCCTGGCCTGGCCGGGGAGTTCTTCGCAACGATACATCACCGTAGGGCCCGGGGCACGGATGCATCCTGCGGAACAGCCGCTGGCAGGGGCCGAGGAGGAGAAGGGTGGGCAAGGTCGCGATGCGGACTCCCTCCGCGAGACGCGGCACCTCGGCGACGGTCCCATCGCCAAGCGTCGCAAGCCAGCGTCACCCGTGCCCTCGAAGGCGAAGCCGTGTGCGAGGGCCGCCGCAGATGTTCGCGAGCAGCGGCCCCCACCGGCGAGGGGAAGACGAGGGCGAGCAGGGTGAGGGCATTGGCTGAGGGATACCCTGAAACAAGGATTCCAGGGCCTGGAAGCCAGCGGAGCACCAATTGAGGGCTGGCCATGGTCATCACCGCCGCCCTCATCAGGCAAGGAATCCGCCAGGGTCTGAGGTCTCCTAGGAACAGTCTTTCACGAAGCCCATCAGCTCCGGCCCTGGAAGGCATGGTGCGATCGAAGAGCTGCTTCTACGAGCGCGTCCGCAGTAGAGCCCAAAGAAGTCGTCGCTCGGCTATGAGGGCTCCTGCGATGCCGATCGTGCTGTAGACCTCGCAGCCCCTGCTCGGAGGATGGCCAGCTGAGACAGCGGCGGCCCTCCCACCTGGCCCACCTCCGCTCAGTACTGGAGCCCCGCCCCCCCCCCCACCGGGATTCATCCTGACCCGCTCGGGAGGAACCAAAACTTATGTTGGCTTCGGGTTCGTGCGGCGTCAGCGCGCACAAAGGTCTTCGCCGCGTCGACTGTTCAACTTTGAGTCGATCGCGGCCCCGATCGTCCCAAAATTCGTTCCAGTCGGGTCCAGTGACGGCACCGTGTCCATCGGCCCTTCCGCGCCGCAGAATTCAACCTTGGACGCCTTCGCCGGCGTCGCCAGCTCGCCAACTCCGCACGAGCCTACCGTGCCGATGCCGCTGCTCCAGGCCCTCGGGGTGCGCACTGGCCAGAGTCTCGGCGCGCAGCCGGCCTTGTGGCGACGAGGGCCTCCTGGGAAGCCCAGAGAGGCGAAGACGAGGCAGGGGTAGCGGTGTCGGCACCTTTTTTCCTCCTCCGACGCCCGGGAGGCGTGCGTCCAGCCCGAGCATGTAGCAGAACCATCCAGCAGTACGGATCGCTTCCCGAGCGGTGCGGCCCGAAAGCGCCGCGCCACCGCGCCACATACCAGAAGACTTCTCGGCGGGCGCGTCGCCCCTGCGAGGGCGGCGCACACGTGGCCTCAGGACGCTGGCTCGCCGCCGACGTTCTCCGAGGCGGACCCAGTCGTGGCGACGAGAGGCCTCCGGGAGGCCCACAGGAATAGCAGAGCTGAGCTGCCCCGATGCGCAACACGCCACACGCAGCGGGTTGATACGGAGCTCAGCCCGCAGACTGAAAGCGTGGGCCTGATGCGGCACGTTCGCCAAGGCGTGGGCCAACACGTTGGGCCAACGCGCAGCGTATCGGCACGGACGCCTCGAGAACGGCACGTGCTGCTCAGCCAAAGGCGGGCGTAGCGAGGCAGCCAGGCCGCCGACGTTCCTGGAGGCGCATGGGGGACCCGAGAGCCGAGAGAGGCCGCGGGAGCAGGCGGGCGAGGCGGCCGCTGCCGCAGTCCCGAGCCGACCTCGGCTCACTCGGCTAGACGCAAGAGTGACCCTGGGTCAGAGTGACCTCTGGTGCGCGGGCCGGGGCGCGCGAGGGGGCCAAACCCGAGCGCGCTTTCGGCGATCGGGGGGCCCAATGGGCCCGCACCCGAGGTCACTCCGGCGAAGGGTCACTCTTTGAAGGGGCCCTGGGACACACAAATCAGCACACACACACACACACAAAAAAAAAAAAAGATTCCCCATCTTTCCCCATACTGTCTGGGTTTTCGTCTTCCCCCCCACTTCCCATCTTTTCCCATGTTTTCGGGGGGATCGACGATGAATTGTGTCTGTGTGTGTGTGTGTGTGTTTTTCCTCCTCCTGACTCTTACGCATAGCCGAACCCACCCACCACGCGAGCCACGGCGCCCGGCCCAGGGCACACCGCCCGGGACGCGCGGCCGCCTCTCCCTGCCCTGCGAGGCGCCGCTTCCCGCAGCGGCCGCAGCGGCGGCCTCCCCCCCTGCCCCAGGCCCCCGTCCTCCCCTTTCTGCTCCTCCTCCGCCTCCTCCGCCTCCGGCTCCCCGGCTCCGCTGCCGATGCCGTTTTCCTCCTCCTCCTCCTCCTCCCTCTCTCCTCCTCCTCCCTCCCTCCTTCCCTCCCCCCTCCCCCTCCCCTCCTCCTCCTCCTCCTCCTCCTCCTCCTCCTCCTCCTCCTCCTCCTCCCTCCCCCTCCTCCTCCTCCTCACTCCCCCCCTCCTCCTCCCCCTCCCCCTCCCCCTCCGCCTCCTCCTCCTCCTCCTCCTCCTCCTCCTCCTCCTCCTTCGCCTGCGATCCCGGCCGCAGGCCCTGCTGGGCCGCGCGCGAGGGACACTGACTTACAGACAAAGCCGGCAATCAAAATGTCCACCGACGGCACCTGCACTTCCTTCTCCGTTATGTAGTTCCAGGCCCGGCCTTTTGGCAGCTCCTCTGGGCGCTAGGGGGGGAGCATGCCGTGTTTTGCGTGCTGATCCGGTGGTATTCGGTAAAGCTGATGCAGCTTTGAACAATGTTTGGGCGCAACACACACATACAGTATTTATTGCACCCGGACTACAAGCCTCCAGCTCAACCCTGCACATCACGCACGCTGGTTTAACCTAAGCAGGGCTGGCACGGCCCAATTCTGTACTGATCCGCTTGGCGCGCCGTGGTAAGAAATGCACGTATACAAACATCCACTCCCGCGCTTGCAGCGGTAGGTTGTGTGTGTCGGGCCCTTTCGCTTCTTGCGAAGCAATAATGAAAACCCCGGACGCATCGAGCCCAAGATGCGTTCATTTGTGCCACCAAGTCCCTGCGATGTCCGCCTTTCAAGCAAACCATGAGCCCAAATGCGAAGTGTGGGGATTGAGGTTCCGTGGCCCCTCCCCTGTCCCAAGCGCTCGCCCGCCCACCTAGCCCTCTCGTCCCCATGGCCACAACGGGCCTAGAAGGGCCAAAAACTGCGCCGAAAGATCGCGCTAAGACGCCCACGATGGCCCCAAGACGGCTCTAAAGCCTCCAAGACGCCCCAAGAAGCTCCCAAGAGGCCTCCCAAGTGAGCCCCGAGAGGCACAAATCGTCCCATTCTTTTCGGCACTATTTTTTTACAGATTCGCTTCTTGAGCTGTCACAGCGTCCAAGGCGGCTCAAGAAGCCCCCAAGACCGCCCCGAGGCAGCCCAGGAAGCCCCGAGGAGCGCTCCAAAACGGCCCAAGAAGGCCCCAAGACAGCCCAAGACGACCCAAGAGGGCCGCTTTGACGGGCCCAAGAGAAGGCCCGGAGGGAGGAGAAGAAAATGTCCAGCCTTCGGCCCCAAGACGCCCCCCGAGGGCCCCAAAAGGCCCTCAAGAGGCCACCAGATGGCCCTAAGAGGCTCCCAGAGGCCCCCAATAGGCTCCCGGGAGGCCCCCAAGAGGCCTAAAGACGACCCCCAAAACGCCCCCAAAAGGCATGCAAGATGCATCCAAGACGCCCAAAAACTGCCACCAAGATGCCTCCAAAACGCTTAGTTCTGAACATACGTGCTGCACAACAATTAGTTCGCCCATTCTTCAACATCTTCAACCGTCTTGGGGGTCCTCTGAGAGGGTCCCCACAAGAAACTGCCTCCAAGATGCGCAGCAGCGCCACTTCATATGTATATCCCACCTGGGCGTACAGGAACAAGTGCTCCCCTTGCACAAACCGACCCACCCTCCCCTCCCCAGTCGCCCCTGTGGACAGGGGGGGGGACAAGGGGTGGCCCCCCCTGTGGACGGGGAGCTCAGTGTCCCCCCTGTGGACAAGGGGGACACGGTGGGGTCCTCCCTGTGGCCAGGGGGAACTCAAGGCCCCTCCCCCTCCCCCCCCTCCGTCCCCCCAATTCTCCCTGTGAACAAAAGAGGAAAAGGGGTGGTCCCCCTGAGAACAAAAAGAAATCAAGACCCCTCCCCCCGCCTCCCACCTGTGTACAAGGGGGCCACCTCCCCCGTGGGGGTCGCCAGCAGGGGTCCCGGGGAAGGTCCCGCAGTCAGGGTGGGCGGCATCGGCCGGACGGCCTTCACAAGATGTGCGTATCCCACCTGAGCGTAGAGGAGCAACTGTCTCCCTTGCACTAGCCGAGCAGATCTGCGGGCCATTGTCATAATATGTCCGCGATGACGTGTCCAATGTGCCAGCGCCACTTTTACATGCACCCGTGAAATCCGCACAAGCAAAGGTGGCTTACCTTGGCAGGCCCAGTATCCAACAGCAGAAAAACAACTCCTTGCGCGGCGGCCCTGGAATGTACAACCGTAAATTCGGCAAATCACCATCAAGATACGCACGCTGATACGGCTTAGCTGAATCCAAACCGTATTGTTTGACATATGTTGGGACTGAGCGCTTTCCGTGACCTACCCTTCCCTAGCGCACCACTGGGCGCGATGAACTGGGGAAGAAAAATATTGACCAAGTGAGCTGATACAAATACTCGGCTTCCGCCCCTTACATACTTATGTTTCCGCGAAGCTTCGACTGATTCTGAAAGGTCAACCCCTGAATTCGACAAAGGTTGTCCTTGGACTCCTGGCAGGGCCGGTGCCTGGCTGGGGAGTAAAAGTAGGGTTGCACGTATGTATTTATATATATGAATACATGTGTGCATATCTATAGACACACCTATGTACATACATATGCAACTATAAGTAAACGTACACACGTATATAATCATACATGTGCTAAAACCACGCACGCGATTATGGGAACCGGGATGATGTTATCACATTGCTTGAATGGGAAGCGATGCGACATGTGTGAAGCAATTCTTGTGGTGCAACGTACTGTCTGCAACATTTGCTGTGGTCAACGCATGTTACGCATCCCACCCACCCATCCGCAACTTGGTTTGCAAAACCCATGCCTAGCGCACGCAAGCTCGCGTGCAGAGCGGCCAGCTAGTCTGGCACGACCGACGCGGCCGCTGTTGCGCTGACCGCTGGGCACTTCCCAGCGCGTCTCGCAGGCCGCGCTGACGCGCGGGCACTTCAGTGCGAGTCGGTGGCGCGGGCGGACACGGTATAATGGCGACGCCGACAACGGCAGACACGATGATGATGATGATGATGATGATGATGATGATGCTGATGATGATGATGATGATGACGATGAAGAGGATGATGGTAGAGATGCTGGTGACGACGATGACGATGACGACGGCAAGGCCAAGGACTGCGTTGATGCTGATCACGCCGATGACGATGAGGGTATCCAAGGGTCAGTGCTGAAGGTTTTGGAAAGGTTTCGACATGCGCGCGCGGCCGACGGGCGCGAGTGGCCCGCATGGTGTGATTTGACACGGAGCGTGCCCCCGCAGCACGCGCGCAAGGGCTTTCGAATGATTTCGACGTGCGCGCGCGCGAGAGGCCTGTTTGGTCGCATTCGGTGAGAGTGTTGAAGAACCCATGGTTGTCTTAAGAACTCGCAAGAGCGCGCGCGCATAGTCTATTTTTGAACGAAATGTCGCAAAACCAAATGTGCTGTATATGTCTTCGGGACATGCGAATACATACGAAACCAAAAGGTGTTTAAAAGGATCTCTGCCTGCGCGCGCGACGGCGAGCGCATGGATGCTGTCCAACATGTTGCAAGGGATTCTCGGAACCTACCGATGTTTGATAAACGAGTGTGCGCGCAGTTTTTTTTTATGCAATGCAAAGAATACCAACCTGGCTGAGGTGGTATGAATTTAAACTAAGAATGAAACATGGAGCAGCATCATACGTAAATTGCACACCCCCAAGGCGAACGGAGGATCCCGAGGGGTGCACCAATACGCCTCCAAGACTGCCCGACACGATTCCAAAAATCAAACCGTAATTACTAAAGGCAAAGACCACGACGATGATCACGAGAATGACAATAACGCTGGGGATGATGATGACGATGACGATCGCGATTGTGGCCGCGTGATTCTGCATCGCGCGACGACCATCTTGTACATTTCCTACCTGGGCCAATGGCACAAAGGTGGCGACAGCACTGCAGTCATGGAGATGACGATGCTGACGCTTCGCGTGCTAGTGCTTCTGAGCAAGTTTGGCACACCCGAGGGCAGCCCTGGACACGTGTGCACCGCGCGGTTTGGCTCGCCAGAAGGGGTCGAACGATGCGTGCCGTGCAGACCTGCCCTGCCGAGGACGCAGCAAGGACACGAACGCGCGGCCGAGGCCTCAGGCGCCCCGGCGTGCTCCCCCCCTGGGCTTCTGCGACATCTGGTACGGCAGTTTCATGTCGTGCCAACTCCGGCGTTGGTTCCTGACACTGCGAGGATCGTTCCACCTTGAAGGATCGGCCGTTTCCGAAACCTCAAATCGTTCAACATCAACGGATCCTGGGTCGCTGGCAGCGTTCAACGTTGAACGCCGGCAGCTGGGTCGCGGCTGGTCGACACGACGCCATTTTTCCCTCGTGGGCAGAAGCGATAGCCTTCTGACGTGGCTAGCGCCAATGACCTCAGCCTATGTAGCTGAGGCACTGCTGGCCTTCTGGAAACTCTTGAGTGCTTGGAAATTCTCGATGTCATTGAAACTCTTCCCGTCGTCTGGGTGAAGCCCGTCGAGCAAGCGCTTGCGAGACATGTGAAGGATGAGGCAGTCGCGATGCGCCAGGGGCCACAGCTACGGTCGGGAACTTTGGCTTCGCGTGTCGCAGCGGCGGCCCCCGCGGCACGTTCTGCCCTGCAAGCGGACCGCGTGCCGCGCCGCTCCGCGCCAGGGGAGGCCGGGAACCAGGCCGTGGATAGCGTGCCGTGCCGAAGCGCGGTGGGCCAGTGCCCGCGGGGCGACACGCTACGCGCCCAAAGTTCCCAGCCGTAGGGGTCGAGGGCCGAGGGTCCCATGCCCTCCCCGCTCCTGGATGTCGCCGAACAGGTAGGGCACCTCGGGGAAGTTCTCGGTGATCCACTTCCTGCGCGGGCCGAAGCAAGAGACGCCGAGATCAAGGGCACCCTCGCTTCTCCTCCTCGTCCTCCTCCTCCTCTTCCTCCTCCTCTTTTTCCTCCTCCTCCTCCTTCTCCTTTTCCTTCTCCTCCTCCTCCTGATCCTCCTCCTCCTCCTCCTCCTCCTCCTCCTCGTCCCCCTCCTACTCCTCGTCCTCCTCCTCCTTCTCCTCCTCCTCCTCTTCCTCCTCCTCCTCCTCCTCCTCCTTCTCCTCCTCCTTCGCTCCTGCTGCTGGTCCTCGTCGTCCTACGTCTCCTCCTTATCATCCTACCTCGACGAGGAGGAAGGGACGAGGACAAGGACGAGGAGAGAGCCAGTCTGAGGGAGGTCCAGAGGGCTCTGAGGGCAGCCTCAATGTTTCTCGGCGGCTTTGGAGAATTCTAGGTGCAAGCAGAAGAAACGGGGCCGAGGAGGACAAGTAGGGGGGAACAGGAGGAGGTGGGGAATGGGGGACATGGGGTTAGGGGAGGGAAGGAGGAAGCGAGGGAGGGAGGGAACAGAAAAAAACGGTTATATTCAGAAACGGAAGACGAAGGAGAGAAGGGGAGGGGGGGGAAAAGAAGAGGGAGAGAGAAGACAGCAAGACAGCCAGGCAGATAGACACACAGATAGACCGATAGACGGACGGACAGACAGACAGGCAGACCGACTGACTGACTGACTGACTGACTGACTGACAGACGGACAGCCTGACAGGCAGGTAGACAGACAGAGAAAGAGAGAGAGAGAGGGGGAGGGAAGGAGAGGGAGACGGAGAGGGAGAGGGAGCGTGTGTGTGCGGAGGAGGGGGAGGAGGAGAAGGTGAGGTGGATGGGGCATCGGATGACGAGGGAAAGAGAAGGGCAAGGAAAAAGGGGGCAGATAAGTAGGAGGGTAACTAGCACGACGAGAAGGAAACAAACCAGCGTGAAGAAGGACAACCATGAAGAGCGGCATAAAGAGAGCGATGACTAGCAACTTAAAGGATGCAGAATGTTACACCTGATGATATAATGCCACCCAGCTGAATAGAAGCGCATGCCATCACCGCTGTCATACAACACATGGAAATATGTAACATCGTAGACTAAGCACGCGGAACTAGAAGAAAGTCGAATAAGTTAGGCAGTCCGAGACGTAATAAGGAGACTGGGCCATGGTTGCACGCGAAGAGAAGGGAGCACAATACGACATCACATTCGCAAGAGAAGACGCAATCAAAAAGGGTCACTACGGGTGATACACGATATTACGACATTGTATATTGAAGAGGGGAAAAAGAGAAGTGCAAAAAGAAGAAGGAGAAAGAGGAGGAAGAGGAGGAGGAGGAGGGCGACGAGCACAACGACGACGAGGCCGACGGCGACGTAAAGGAAGGAGGTAGCAGGGGGGACGGGGACGGTGGCGTTGCTGACGAAGATCGGGAGGACGAAGAGTCGATTATGTGGCCAGAGACGTGGACCAAGAGGGCGACGAAGAGACGACTACGTGGCCAGAAACGATGGACAACGGAGAAGGCGACGAAGAGACGACTACGTGGCCAGAGACGTGGACGCCTCTCCTATCTTTCTCCCCTCTCCTCCGCCCTCCCTCGCTCAACTCTTTATCTCTCTCTCTATTCCCCCTCTCCCTTCTCCATCACCTCGTCCCTCCTCCCCTCGCCCCATCTTCCCCCCACTCCTCCCCCTCCCCCCCGCTCCCTCGCCATCTCCCCCTCCGTCACCTCGCAAGATCCACCTCCACATCTTCGACCTCTCCACCCCCGCCCCATCCGCCCTCGACCTTCCCCCCCCCCCGCCCTCTACCCGCCGCCCGCACCCTCGGCGCCCTCCGCCCCACCTGTACCCCTCGCCCGTGGCACCATTCCCACGGCCGCCTCTTGTTCGGGCAGAACTCGCACGAGAAGGTGTGCTCGATCTTCAGCTTTGGCATGGCCTTCGCCTTGGAGCACACCGTCGAGCAGCTTCTCCCGTGCATCATCCCACGGCGTACTCGGTCCACCTCATCCTTCCTCATCCTCCTCCTCCTCCTCCTCCTCCTC